TCTCTTTGAGGCCAGAGAGGCCTTCCCCGAGATAAGGATGGTGGAGATGGCGACAAAGGACTTGAAAAGAATGCAAACATTTTGTGCAGGGAGGGCCCCAGTACTTCTCCATCCCTCATTATATAGGGCCCTTAAACTAAAATATCCCACGGACGTCGGCGGGATTGTCACAGAAGGACGAATGACGTCGGAGTTAGGAGTGGAGAGCCTGGGACAATCCGTCGGGGTCCTTTCACCCGCAGATTTCCGTCCTGTATGTGAATAGGTTTTTGCGCTTATTCTTCTTTTCTTTTTGCAGGCTTAAAAAATGGAAACCAAGTTAGCGACTCTGAATGTGAGGGGCTTAAGGGATCGGGGTAAGGCTGCCCGCCTGCTCCGGGACCTTCTGTCCCTGGATGTGGATGTCGCCGCGATCGAAGAGACCCACTTTGTTTGCAGTGCCGATGCGTGTGTGCTGGAGGATGACTTTGTTGTCTATTCAGCATATGGGGACCGGTTTGCCAGAGGAGTTTCTTTGCTTGTCAGACGGACTCTTGATGCGAAGGTGGACCTTGTGCATACCGATGCCGAGGGCCGGTTGATCGTGGCCGATATTGCCGTGAAAAGTGGTTCGTTCCGAGTCGTTGCGGTTTATGCGCCCAATGACCAGGAGGAGCGGGTCTCGTTTTTTCGGCGGTTGGGGCCGTTCCTGGTTGATTCAACGCGCCTAGTTTTAATGGGGGACTGGAATGCCGTTCTGGACCCCGACTTAGACAGGGGGCGGGGTGCTAGTGGGAGAAGGGACGATCGTAGCCTGGTTGATCTGATCGACGATTATGGTCTCGTCGATAGATACCGGGTCGATCATCCCGGGGGGAACATGTGGACGTGGGCTCTTAGTTGGCCTTCTGACAAGGTGGTTAGCTACCTTGACAGAATGTTAGTTAGAAGAGCCGACATAGATCTGCTAGATTGCCCTACGTTCCACTGGGTAGGCTACACGGACCACAAACTCGTTTGTGCCCGTGTAGCGTTAGATCATAGGCCTAGAATGGCTGGCTACTGGAAGTTCAATCTGTCTTTACTGGACAGGCAGGACTTCCGGGAGCAGCTAACTAGATTAGTGCAGCGGGAATTAGTGGGGGCGGTTATCGGGAATAAGTGGTGGGAACGCCTTAAGTCTAGGATTAGGTCTTTCACCACTGATTTCAGCAAACGGCTCGCTCTAGATAGAGCTGAAAAGGTGAAGACACTTAAAGCTAGTTACACCCGGGCGGTGGCTGGGGGATCCCCTAGAGATAGCCTCAGCTAGGGCGGCCCTGGATCGTTTGAATAGCGAGCGGTACATGGGCCAGGTAATTAGACATAAGTTAAGTAAGATGTCTTCCGAAGCTGTGAACTTGGGCGCAGATCTGCGCAGGGAAGAGGTCCGTCGAGGTGGCGATCGTTTCATTCGTGAAGTCAAATCCCGGAGGGGCACACTCTTCGGGCCACTGACGACATGTGCGAGGCGTTTCGGCGCCATTTCGGGAACCGGTTTACCAAGGAGCCTGGTCTCCGTGAGGAGGAGTTTCGCAGCTATTTGGCTGACTTTCCTCGGCTTTCGCCGACTGAAGCGGCTAGCTGCGAGGGAGAGATTACGGAGGGCGAAGTCTACGTGGTTTTGAAGAAGGTCGGCAGAGGCAAGTCGCCCGGTCTGGATGGTTTGCCCTATGAATTGTACTTGAGGCTGTCGCACATCTTTGTTCCGATTTTGACAGCAGTGTTCAACAACTGGTTTCGGTCGGGGTCCATCCCCAATCGGATTACCAGGGGCGTGATCACTCTGTTGAAAAAAGGGCAAAGGTGGTGGGGGAACCTAGATGATTATAGGCCCATAACTCTGCTAAACACAGAGTTAAAGATTATGGCCAAGATCCTGCAGGAGCGTTTGCAGTCAGTTGCCGAGTCTCTGTTGGGACCTGAGCAGACTTGTTCTGTGAGGGGCCGAACAATTCAGAGCAACCTGCATCTGATCCGCACGATCATAGAGGGTGTAAAGACGACGAAGAAGCCGCGCTGATCAATTTGGATCAGTCCAAGGCATTTGATAGGGTTGACCATCGCTACCTTGCTACTGTCCTGCAGGCCGCTGGATTCGAAGCCAACTTCTGCCGCTGGATTAGCCTCCTGTATCGCTCCCCCAGTGCTGTGGTACAGGTGAACGGAAGGTTGTCGGACGCGTTCGTGCTGTCTAGGTCGGTTCGTCAGGGTTGTCCGCTGTCGCCTCTCCTTTATGCTTTGGCGTTGGAGCCTCTCCTTCGCCGGCTGAAGGACGAGACCGGCAGTCCGGCCCTACGTGGAATTGCCGTGCCTGGAGGGTCTCGAGCCAGGGTTTCCGCGTACGCCGATGACGTATCTGCTTTCGTGTCGTCCCGCAGCGACATTGAGGCGGTACAGAAGGCGCTTGATCGGTACGAGAAGGTGACAGGGGCCAAGATAAACCGCGACAAGTCGTCCGGCTTGCGGTTAGGTGCCTGGAAGGGGGGTCGATCTTCCGGGCCGCTTCGGTTGGACGGACGGTCCTGTCCGCATTCTTGGAGTGTGGTTTGGGCCTGACCTCCAGCTGGAGAAGAATTGGTCTGAAGTACGTGCAAAGGTCGATTCTGCCGGTCAGACTTGGAATCGACGGCGGTTGTCCGTGAAGGGCAGGGAAAACTTCGTCGTTGCTCACACGTTCCGTTGAAGAGATGGATAAATGTTCTCGTTATGAAGTAACGCCATTTTGAGGCTCCTGGATGAGCTGTTGATGAACAGGTGCCACTAGCTGAGCGTACAGGTGAGTAAAAATAATCGAAATACATACGACTTTCATGCGTCCATCTAACAAATTCCACTGTTTGAGTCTCGACCTCAATTGGACTTCGTGAGACCAACATCTCTGATCAGGTCGTTTAAATCTTTTTGGTTAGCGTAGTATTGGTTTCTCTCCTCACTTACGCTTCTGTAATGTGGATCAATGACTTCACTCACTTTATAAGATGGCTGCTCTCCCTTTGGAGCAGTGTGTAGGGGGATCTCAGGGCAGTGTGGCAATGAGGCAATGGATGACAATAGGTCAAAATATGTTACAGTTTTTTGTGTATATACATATGTAACTAGTGAGTTAGTCAAAATGACTTAACTCCCTTTATAGTCTACCAATAGAAGATTAACCAATCAGAAGCCGCAGAACATTCAATCCGTCGTGTATAAAGGCGGCCATTTTTGTTTATCCTACCCGAATTACCAGTGCCAACTTGTCAGGCGAAGATGACAGAAGGAAGTACTACGCTCTGCTACTTTGCTGCGATATCCACTGCTAACCTGAACTACGCTTTCCTACTGTCTCCGAAATACTCACTGGTAACCTCTGGATTCTATACTCGAAGACGACCGTCAAAAGGTCTAACAAAATATATTATAGCAGGCGCATTCTTGCCAGCTTGAGGTTTTTAAGGGTCCACCAAGCAGAAGAAGTAATTGCTTGAGAGGTCAGTTAGTTCCCTCAAAATTTGTAGGATTGTGAATTTCATGGCCCTATTTTTCTCCCTGTACCATCCTGCAAAAGAGAAAATTATAAAATATGTGTGAAGAAATACAAATATATTTCACTCATTGTTATTGAAAAAAATTTTAAAATTTTCTGAAAAACGTGAGGTGGATATCTGCATTTATGGCACAAAAATACGGAATCTTGAACAATGAAACCCCTAATATTCTGTATTTCTTATGGATTTTGTCAGGTATCCAGTAAAGGAAACAGCAATGATATTGTGGACACTCATGCACGATTGTTGAGACATATTTGATTTAAATATATTTTAATGGTTTAAAAATAATTAAAAGTAAAATAATATTTAAAAAAAAAATCCAAAATTTTGTGCACTTAAAAGTTTTACTCTCCAAACAAGAAAAACTTTCCATCCTACCTTCTAGAGTTCTTGTGCAGGTGAAATGAGGCGCTCAAATATTTGTCATGATCCCCAACAGGCATGACAAAATATACCTTGTAGATCCCAATCATTTTAGCATATACTGTCACTGAGTATTTTTTTTTACTCTTGTATTTGGTAAATTTTCGTCTTCCGCCTGTTTACAACCTCTTGTGACTAATGCGCCTATTAATGACGACTTGTTTGTACTTGGGCAGCTAGACGACGTATACTGAACTGTAGCTATGCTGCCACCTATTTGCCAGAAATTTCTAGAAATTCTTTAAGCTTTTAGAAACTTCTCGAAAATTATAGAAAATTCTCCTTCTGCAATTCAATGCTGAATCTCTCTGGAAAATAGGTTAGTTTCGAAAACATCGATGTCCAGATCAAAAGCAAAGTTTGAAGGGTATAAGTGTGATTTTCTTTGCTTTCTTGACGGACGCAAGGAGGAAATAAGGACTCATTCGCAAAAGACAAAAATAATCAAAGTCACAAGTTTGTTACACAACGTAATATACGCGGAAAATATATTGAATAGACGTGCTTACATCTGTCTATAATTCTGAGATGAGGTATTATGTACACTATTTACATTGTCATTTATCTACTGTTAATTCCCCTCTGCAAGTTCTCCACTGCCTTAACCGGGTATTGAACTGACACTCTTTGGTTCCTGTCACTGGATCTAACTAACGCCTTTATCCGCTGTGCCATGTGTCATTGAGGACATCTGTGTATGAATTGGCTGACCACATATAGAGGGCAAAGAGAGATCACCGCCCTCTGTGGGATCAGGTTGAGATCATAGACAAAGAAAACCATTGGAAATTCGTAAACTTAAAGAATCAGCACATATGCTAGGCCACAAAAATCTCCTGAGCCGACCAAGCATAGAAATGAATACAATATGGGAACCAGTAATAACAAGTGCCAGAGAAACGCGATAATAACAAAAATTGCAGTATGAGCTCTGGTAAAAAACCCGATTTGATAACGGCAAAAAATTGCAATATGAGCACTGGTAAAAATGGTTGTTGAGACATTAGGTTCATTATAGCAAGAAATTCATATCGAATTTTTATAAAGTTTCGTCCGGGGGGTAACGGTTCCCGAACCCCAGTCTCTGACTGTATGCGGCAGGGGATTGGGGATCTCCTGAAGACTTCTATCGAACTCTCTGCTCTGGCGGGGATTGGGGATAGACAGATCCTGAACCCGTTTAATATCGGCAGTCGACCCGCAATCTCTGACTGTGTGCGACTTATCGAACTCTCTGCTCTGGCAGGGGATTGGGGATAGACAGATCCTGAACCCGTTTAATATCGGCAGTCGACCCGCAGTCTCTGACTGTGTGCGACTTCAATCGAACTCTGCTTTGGCGGGGATTGGGATAGACAGATCCTGAACCCGTTTAATATCGGCAGTCGACCCGCAGTCTCTGACTGTGTGCGACTTATCGAACTCTCTGCTTTGGCAGGGGATTGGGATAGACAGATCCTGAACCCGCTTAATATCGGCAGTCGACCGCAATCTCTGACTGTGTGCGACTTCTATCGAAGCTCTCTGCTTTGGGGGATTGGGGATAGACAGATCCTGAACCCGCTTAATATCGGCAGTCGACCGCAGTCTCTGATCTTCTATCGAACTCTCTGCTCTGGCAGGGGATTGGGGATAGACAGATCCTGAACCCGCTTAATATCGGCAGTCGACCGCAATCTCTGACTGTGTGCGACTTCTATCGAAGATCTCTGCTCTGGCAGTCGGGGATTGGGATAGACAGATCCTGAACCCGCTTAATATCGGCAGTCGACCGCAGTCTCTGACTGTGTGCGACTTCTATCGAACTCTCTGCTCTGGCAGGGGATTGGGGATAGACAGATCCTGAACCCGCTTAATATCGGCAGTCGACCGCAATCTCTGACTGTGTGCGACTTCTATCGAAGACCTTAATATCGGCAGTCGACCGCAATCTCTGACTGTGTCCTTTGGCAGGGGATTGGGGATAGACAGATCCCGAATCCTGACCCCCTTAATATCGGCGAGACTTCGACTTTGGCAGGGGATTGGGGATAGACAGATCCTGAACCCGTTTAATATCGGCAGTCGACCGCAATCTCTGACTGTGTGCGACTTCTATCGAACTCTCTGCTCTGGCAGGGGATTGGGGATAGACAGATCCTGAACCCGCTTAATATCGGCAGTCGACCCGCAGTCTCTGACTGTGTGCGACTTCTATCGAACTCTCTGCTTTGGCAGGGATTGGGGATAGACAGATCCTGAACCCGTTTAATATCGGCAGTCGACCGCAATCTCTGACTGTGTGCGACTTCTATCGAACCTGGCAGGGGATTGGGGATAGACAGATCGAACCCGCTTAATATCGGCAGTCGACCGCAGTCTCTGACTGTGTGCGACTTCTATCGAACTCTCTGTTTTGGCAGGGGATTGGGATAGACAGATCCTGAACCCGTTTAATATCGGCAATCGACCGCAATCTCTGACTGTGTGCGACTTCTATCGAACTCTCTGCTCTGGCAGGGATTGGGGATAGACAGATCCTGAAACGCTTAATATCGGCAGTCGACCGCAATCTCTGACTGTGTGCGACTTCTATCGAACTCTCTGCTTTGGCAGGGATTGGGGATAGACAGATCCTGAACCCGCTTAATATCGGCAGTCGACCGCAATCTCTGATCCTATGACTCTCTGCCTGGCAGGGGTTTGGGATAACAGATCTGAACCCGCTTAATATCGGCAGTCGACCGCAATCTCTGACTGTGCGACTTCTATCGAACTCTCTGCTCTGGCAGGATTGGGGATAGACAGATCCTGAACCCGTTTAATATCGGCAGTCGACCGCAATCTCTGACTGTGTGCGACTTCTATCGAACTCTCTGCTTTGGCGGGGGATTGGGGATAGACAGATCCTGAACCCGTTTAATATCGGCAGTCGACCGCAAGTCTCTGACTGTGTGCGACTTCTATCGAACTCTCTGCTCTGGCGGGGGGATTGGGGATAGACAGATCCTGAACCCGCTTAATATCGGCAGTCGACCGCAATCTCTGACTGTTTGCGACTTCTATCGAACTCTCTGCTCTGGGGGGATTGGGGATAGACAGATCCTGAACCCGCTTAATATCGGCAGTCGACCGCAATCTCTGACTGTGTGCGACTTCTATCGAACTCTCTGCTCTGGCAGGGGAGTTGGGGGATAGACAGATCCCTTAATATCGGCAGTCGACCCGCAGTCTCTGACTGTGTGCGACTTCTATCGAACTCTCTCTGCTCTGGCAGGGGATTGGGGATAGACAGATCCTGAACTTAATATCGGCAGTCGACCGCAATCTCTGACTGTGTGCGACTTCTATCGAACTCTCTGCTCTGGCGGAAGTTGGGATGACAGATCCTGAACCCGCTTAATATCGGCAGTCGACCGCAATCTCTGACTGTGGATACTCCTGCTCTGGAACTCTCTGCTCTGGCGGGGGATTGGGGATAGACAGATCCTGAACCCGCTTAATATCGGCAGTCGACCGCAATCTCTGACTGTGACTTCTATCGAACTCTCTGCTTTGGCAGGGGATTGGGGATAGACAGACAGCTTAATATCGGCAGTCGACCGCAATCTCTGACTTGCGACTTCTATCGAACTCTCTGGCTGGCAGGGGATTTGGGGATAGACAGATCCTGAACCCGCTTAATATCGGCAGTCGACCGCAATCTCTGACTGTGTGCGACTTCTATCGAACTCTCTGCTCTGGCAGGGGATTTGGGATAGACAGATCCTGAACCCGCTTAATATCGGCAGTCGACCCGCAATCTCTGACTGTGTGCGACTTCTATCGAACTCTCTGCTTTGGCGGGTGGTTGGGGATAGACAGATCCCGAACCCGCTTAATATCGGCAGTCGACCGATCTCGACTGTGTGCGACTTCTATCGAACTCTCTGCTTTGGCAGGGGGTTGGGATAGACAGATCCCGAACCCGCTTAATATCGGCAGTCGACCGCTGTCTCTGACTGCGACTTCTATCGAACTCTCTGCTTTGGGGATTGGGGATAGACAGATCCTGAACCCGTTTAATATCGGCAGTCGACCGCAATCTCTGACTGTGTGCGACTTCTATCGAACTCTCTGCTCTGGCAGGGGATTGGTCTCTGACTAGACAGATCTATCGAACTCTGTTTTGGCGGGGGATGGGGATAGACAGATCCGAACCCGTTGAATATCGGCAGTCGACCGCTTCTGATCGAACTCTCTGTTCTCTGCTTTGGGGGATTGGGGATAGACAGATCCTGAACCCGTTTAATATCGGCAGTCGACCGCAATCTCTGACTGTGTGCGACTTCTATCGAACTCTCTGCTTTGGCAGGGGGGATTGGGGATAGACAGATCCTGAACCCGTTTAATATCGGCAGTCGATCGCAATCTCTGACTGTGTCGCGACTTCTATCGAACTCTCTGCTTTGGCGGGGGGATTGGGGATTTAATATCGGCAGTCGACCGCAGTCCTATCGAACTCTCTGCTTTGTCAGGGGATTGGGAAGATCCCCGTTTAATATCGGCAGTCGACCGCAATCTCTGACCTTCTATCGAACTCTCTGCTCTGACTGAACAGATCCGAACCCGCTTAATATCGGCAACCGCAGTCTCTGACTGTGTGGCTATCGAACTCTCTGTTTTGGCAGGGGATTGGGGATAGACAGATCCTGAACCCGTTTAATATCGGCAATCGACCGCAATCTCTGACTGTGTGCGACTTCTATCGAACTCTCTGCTCTGGCAGGGGATTGGGGATAGACAGATCCTGAAACCGCTTAATATCGGCAGTCGACCGCAATCTCTGACTGTGTGCGACTTCTATCGAACTCTCTGGCAGGGGATTGGGATGACAGATCCTGAACCCGCTTAATATCGGCAGTCGACCGCAATCTCTGACTGTATGCGAATCGAACTCTCTGCTTTGGAAGGTGGGTGGGGATAGACAGCGGGGGATTGAGGATAGACAGATCCTGAACCCGCTTAATATCGGCAGTCGACCCGCAATCTCTGACTGTGTGCGACTTCTATCGAACTCTCTGGCGGGGGTGGTTGGGGATAGACAGATCCTGAAACCGCTTAATGCAGTCTTGACTGTGTGCGACTTCTATCGAACTCTCTGCTTTGGCAGGTGGGTGAGGATAGACAGATCCCGGCAATATCGGGACCCGCAGTCTCTGACTGTGTGCGACTTCTATCGAACTCTCCCGAATCCCGAACCCGCTTATGACGACTTCTACTGTGCGGACTCTGCTTTTTTGGCTGATCCTAAGGGACGGGCTCGGAGAGACCCACGTTAAACCCGGCCTTGTGTCACATACATTCCTCGTGAGGGGGACTGTTAAATATCCTCAGTCGACCCGCAGTGTAACCTGACAATTCCGATGGACATTTGATTAATAACACTCTTATTTTGTATATATTTTCTGTTATTTCAATACACTTGTTCATCCTACCTTCTTTTTTCCGTGTCTTTCTTTCTGGCCCCTAACAGGCCACAACATATTTATGGTCTGGTGCTCCCGCCGTTTAGAGCTCCTTGATAAAATCCATAAATTTCTCACCAGTATCCATTTTTACATATCTATAAGTCTACCATTCGTCTGTTCTTAGAATAGTGCTTGTGACATATGGTCTGGTGGCTCTGCTATTTACCTTGAGCTACTTTCATAAACTCCAAAGAAAAATCAGTAATATTCTTGGTTCCGATCTGGCAGCTCGGCTTCAATTAATTTCCCACCACCCTAAGGTTGCCTCTCTATGTGTTTTCTATAAATACTTTCATGGTAATTGTCCAATAGAGCTCTTCGCTATGTTAATTAGATTTTTTGAATTTACTCGTGACTCGATCGTAAAGCTTATCAATCTGACAAAGTCAAAATGGCAACCGGTGTCCAAAACGAGTGCAAAAGATGGCTTTTTAATTTTAACGACTGCAAAATTAAACTTCTCTCCATTAATCTTCTGACCCTATGCTGTCTTCCATCATCATAGCTTATGCTATCCCCCAAGAAAGTGACCCGTTGCGTCTTCATGGGCTCATGTTCTTTGCTAATATGAAGTGGAAAGACTATATTGAAGCCATTGCAAAGTCAGCCGCTAAGAAAATCATTTCACTATGTCGGACGAGACAATTTTTCTCTCCCGGATCTATCTTCGATATCTATAAGTCTACCATTTCTCCACGCTTAGAAATATTACTGCCAAATATGGTCCGGTGTCCATACTATTTCTCTAGAGCTCCTTGATATTATCCGTTGAAGAATCAGCAATATTATTGGTCCAGATCTGGTGTCTTGCCTTCAGTCAGTTTTTCCAAGGCCGTAAAGTTGCCCCCCCTGCTCCTTCTATAAATACTTTAATGGTATTTCTTCTAAAAAGCTTTTAGCTATGGTGCCTAGACTTTATGAATTCAAGTTCAGTACGAGATTGGCAGCAAGGTCTCATAAATTTACAGTTGAATTAGCTAGATGTAACCATATGTTCTATGCTCACGGTTTCTTTTCTCGCACTTCTCGCTTGTGGAACTCTCTTCCGGCTCTATGCTTTCCAGCCAACTTTAATCAGCAAAAATGTAAATATAATGTCAATCGCTATCTACTCTCCTCCCGGTTACTCTTATTTTCTTCTCGTTTCTTTCTAATGCTTCTATTTTCTAATTCCTCCACACCCGGTAACCCCTTGTGTTTAGTAGCTTTACTGTCTTGAATTAAATGAAATCGATTAAAAAAATAAAAAAAAGTTATAATATATGATAACATCAATCAACAATTTCATAATACTGACTGACGTTAGCTCATTCAACGGTTATTTCATAGCCATGTTTCTAAAAAGGAAACCATTTTATTCCATTTTTTAAAGATGGCGAATAAAAGTAAACATAATGCTCTAGAGTAGAAAAAATTGTAGATCATAAATTACTTTGTGTCATGTAGACCGCACACATAAAACAATAGAGGTCAATCACATAAAATGACCTCTCTTCAATCGTTTTGAGTAAAATTTATAGACATCCAGAAATTAAGCCGACTAATGCGCAAACGAAGGAATTAGAATAAAACTTAATCTGCATAATCCATTGGATTAACGACTATTATTTATGGCTACAATTATATGTATCTTGTTTTGTTACCACCAATTTTTTTCCGAAATGAATGTAAAACATTGAAATCCAGAGAGTGTTGAGGTAGCGATGTATTAAGAAACAGGAAAATTTCATTAGAAACAAAGAAATTAGTACTGAATTCTTATTTAATATCAAGTCTCCTATGTGAATGCTAAGCAATCTGCTGACAGATGAAAAAGAGACTTGAGATAATAGAAATATGGTTCTACAGAAGGATGCTGAGAATACCATAGACAGAACATGTGAGCAATGATGAAGTTTTAGAGAAGATGGAAACAAAAAGGACAGTTATACTTAACATCAGAAAGAGACAATTGGAATTTCTAGAGTACATAATGAAGGAGCGGGGTTTTAAAGATTTGATACTCACAGGACGGAATGAAGACAAGAGTCACAATGGAAAACAATGTATAATCTATCTAGCAAGCTTGATTAAATGGATGAAAGAACAAGATTCAGGAGAGATAAAAAAAAGGACAAAATTTGTTAAGAGGCACAAATGACAGGAAATTGTCGATAGCCATAATCACCATCGTCCCGAATCATCTGAAAGATTAAGTTTTTGACTACTACCGCTACAAAACAAGCATAATTTTTGTTATTGATTAATCATCAGCACCATAATCATCATGATCATGATCATCATCATTAACACCACCAACATCATCATCATTAGCACCACTACCACCACCACCGCAATCACGCCCATCATCCTCATTATTACCACCACCACCATCATCATCATCATCACCACCACCACCACCATCATCATCACCACCATCATCATCATCATCATCATCACCACCACCATCAACATCATCATCATCACCAACAACAACAACTGCATCATCATCATTACCACCACCACCACCATCATCATCATCACCACCACCACCACCAGCACCATCATCATCATTACCACCACCACCACCACCACCACCACCATCATCATCATCACCACCATCATCAACATTATCATCACCACCAACAACAACAGCTACAACATCATCATCATTACCACCACCCCCACCAACATCATCATTAACACCACCACTACCACCACCACCACCACCACCATCATCATCACCACCACCATCATCATCATCATCATCATCACCACCACCAACATCATCATCATCACCACCACCAACAACAACTACATCATCATCATTACCACCACCACCATCAACATCATCAACATCATCATCACCATCACCACCAGCACCATCATCATCATCATCAACATCACCACCATCAACATTATCATCACCACCAACAACAGCAGCTACAACATCATCATCATTACCACCACCAACAACAACATCATCATTAACACCACCACTACCACCACCACCATCATCATCATCAGTACCATAACTAGGTGTGGTCGTAGAGTCGGTGCGTAGCTGAGCACCTGACCAGTTACTTCCGAGGCTGATAGCTTGAGAGGTATCCATGCAGACGTAGCTGCTCTAGAGGAAGACTCGCCTTGCTCATGAAAACGCGACCGTTTACTTGGACTTCAATCTCAGAAACACTCTGCCCAGCCATGCCGTGTCACCACAGCACCGGCGGCATGCATAACTATGGCACCCAGCCTCCAACATTGTGTTAGATGGTCTTTGGCCCTACAAGAAGGTTCCTCCGACCTTTCACAGATCTTGCTTTTAATCCAGTTGAGTATCTCCTTATCAGTAAAAATTGCTGGTGGAACCGACTTAGTCACCGACGACTGACCATGCTATATTACGTGATACCAGTATTCTTAGAGCAACATTATATAATCATTGATTATCCTTAATTTCACGCAAGCTTACTTCAATAGGGAATCGAACCCTTTGCGTTTTATTATCTTCTGCGAATTTACCATCCATTGTTATAAAGCAAGGACCTTTTATGTCATATGAAATTCGAGGAGTTATCCCAACGTCAATTTAATTTTAAATTTCTCTTATGTGCAAAAGAAATCAATGTTTTATGCACATTGGGGAGATTTTTGCTTTGTTTTCAATATTATTTACTATTTACGAGTTGCATTATTTAAATTATTATACATTATTTCGCTTTGAAAATTGAAAAATGAATAATTTTAGAGATGGCTTTTGTAGAAAGAAAAACATACATGTTAAAGATTGTAAAGTGACATTAAATTGAATGTATTTTTTCTAAAGAAATGCAACTTTATACGACCAGGCAGGAGAATCGTATACAAAACAAATTTCATAATGGATGTACGATAGAATGGATGAATAAATAAATAATGATTTGTAGGTAGATTAACAGCTATGAGCGGATGAATTGGAATCGGAGAAGACACGAGTTCAAATTCTCGCTTTGTCTGATTCGCAAAAATTCGTTTGAGAAATGTCTCAATGATTCTCTTCTCTCTTCAGCTATGGGTTAAGTAAACTCGAAGGATAGACTGGTCTCTCTTGCCTTGATTGGCATCCAAACTCTGATGTCTATTCTGAATTCAAACTCGTCTAGAAATCAGAGTCAAACAACGCCAATCTAGTTTTCGATAATGGGAGTTAACTGAAAAATAGGTGCTTGTTTAGCGCGTCATGATGGATTTATTTTACGCATAAAAGAAACATTTAAAATTGAACGGCTGTTGGGATAAATCTACAAATTTCTTATGATCTGCAAGGTAAATTCGCGGACAAAAGCAAGAGTAAAGGGGTTGGATGCCTTACTATAGTAAGCTTGCGTTACATTGACTTAAACTTAGTCAATAATTATGAAACATCAAACTACGAATGTTACTGTTACGAAGGAACTGGATGAACCTAAATGAAAAATAAAAATAATTATCTGAAGAAGGCCGCAGCACACAACGACCGAAACATCGTAAACATGACAATGAAGAAATCGAGAGCAGTCCGAACAATGTAAATAATGCAAAAAATATCACAATTTAGTTTGTGCTCTCCATTTACCTTGGCTGCTACTCTCCTTTTAATTCCGTGTCATTGGGTATTTTTCTCTTGCCCTTTGCATGTCTTTCTGTTTACTGAACTCTCCCAAGCGATGTGGGGTTAATTTGACATTGATCGTTGCAGAAATGGAAAGCCATATTATGATTCCAATTTCATCTATTGCGTTCACTTTCACACAAGTGGATTAAGGAACGGTATGAAGCTCTCGGTCACCCGACCCATAGATTTGTGTAAAATAGAAGGGTAAACTCAAATGTCGCTTTAGAAGAATGACTACTCTGAATTCCAAATCGCAGAAAAAACCAGTCAGGAAACACCCTGCTCACTTTCCCAGGAGGTCACTGATAATAAAGAAAAAAGAGAATCGCTATCTATAGTCACCTCCGTCCGAAAGTGTATTCCGATTTATATATATATATATATATATATATATAAACATTGAAACATGAACATTGAACATTGAAGTCAACACTCAGAGGCGACAGGCTGTTTCATGCTAGACGTAATCGTTGTAGCAGCCTGACGATTGCGTCTAGCATGAAACAGCCTGTGGCCTCTGAGTGTTAACTTTAATGTTCACTTTTATATTTATATTTACATACGTTCTCTGATATTATGTACGTTATCCAATAAATATAGCACACCTTAAAACTATATTTCTTCTCGCCAGTTCCGATTTCCATTCACACACTGATGCAGCGGAAGTAAGGTCAAAGATCTTTCCTCAACCGATATCCAACATGATAATAATAACTACACCAACAATAATAACGATACATAAGTTTTTATCTATCTGCTGTGTTTCTTCACGACATAGGCAATTATAGCTCTCCATAATTTCCTATTCCTTGTATCTCTTAGTAATATTTGTCTTTTTATCACCCATCTTACTAACTGTTCCGCTATACATTCAGACAACCGTGTCAACCTTTTTTTCTTACAATCTCCAAGAATTTTCAGCCGTCACTTTCTGGTTCTGTATAGAAGCGCACTTTTTGTTTCCATTTTCCTTAAAACGTCTTCGTTGCTTACATGCTTCGTCGATGGTATTCTCAGCATCTTTCTGTAGAACCACATCTCTGTTACCGTCAGTTTACCCTTCATCTGTGAGGATATTGTCCAGCATTCATTGTCATATAGAGGCATTGATATTACATAGTAATTCGTAATTTTTTGTTTCTAGATTACGGCCACATCACGTTGAAAACACCGTTTCCCACACTTTATTCCATAAATATAGCACATTTTAAAACTACATTTTTTCATATATATATATCAGGTCATTCCATAAGTTCTGTCCGAATTTTGAATAAAGAAAACAAGTGACCAAATGTTACATTTAATTACAGATTCAATCAACAATGTATTTTCCCTGATTATCTATGACTTCCTTCCATCTATTAACAAGCTTACTAATTCCATTACTGTAAAATTCTTTTGGCTTTGATTCGAAGATCTCACAAATGTCAGTTTTAACCTCTTCCTGTGTTACAAAAGCTGTTTCTTCCAAATGATTCTGTAAGCTACGAAACAAATGGTAGTCTGAAGGAGCAAGATCGGGAGAATAAGGTGGATGAGGAATTTTCTCCCAACCAAGTTCTTCGATCTTTTGTGACGTGATTCTTGCTGTGTGGTGTCGCGCATTGTCCAGATGAAACATCACCTCTTTTCGATTCACTACAGCAGGTCTTTTTTTCTTCAAAGCTTGGTTCAAATGCTCTAATTGCTGACAGTATATTTGAGCATTAATTGTTGCATTAGGTGGTAAGAATTCAGAGTGGATTATTCCTTTGTGATCCCACCAGATACAAAGAAGAACCTTTTGCCCATGAAGTTCCCTTCTCGGCTGTGGCTGAGGTCCTTCCCCTTTAGCAAGCCACTGTCTACGATGCTTAACATTTCGATAAAAGATCCATTTTTCGTCGCCAGTCACAAGTCTATCCAAAAAAGGTGAAACAAGTTGGCGAGAATGGAGAGAAGAGCAGATGTCAACTCGGGATTTGAGGTTGTTTTCCGACAATTCATGAGGCACCCATTTTCCAAGTTTAGGAACTTTTCCAAGTTGTTGAAGATGACGATGAACAGTTGTATGGTTTGAACTGAGAACCACTGTCAATTCCTCAACTGAAAAAGCAGGATTTTCTTCAAGGGCTGCTTCAAGAAGATTTTCATCAAACTCAACTAGACGTCCGGTTCGATCTTCATCTTCAAGGGTGAAATCTCCACCTCTGAATTTTTCAAACCATCTTCTGCAATTTCTTTCATTCACACATTCCTCTCCATAAACTGAGTGAATGTTTCTAGCCGCTTCGGCTGCTGAGTTTCCTTTCTTGAACTCATAAAGCATTATGTGCCTCAAATGATTCTTGGGTACTTCCATGTTAGTAGGGTTTTAATCAAACAAAATTTACTTTTATTGTTCTCTGAAATAAAATTTGATCAGTTTAAATGCATCTAAACATAAAAAATAATGTTCAGCTCCATTAGACATTATAAAATACTCTTTAAATTTCGTTCATTTTAAGAAAAAGTTAAAATTCGGACAGAACTTATGGGGATGATATATATATATATATATATATATATATATATATATATATATATATATATAGAGAGCACTTCACAAATATCTGTGTTTCTTTCTGTTTACCTACCTACCTGGATGCTCGTAATTCTCTCCCGTTATAGCAGCAATAGAATGTGTTGGTAGAGTATCGGTGATCAGCGCAAAAATGGAATCAGCATACCGAGTTCAAATTCTGGACAAGTCTTTGACGTTCATTTTCGTACTTTTCTCCTTGGGAAAGGCATGAATCAAACACCTTCCCTCAATCATGGATTATACGGAAGGCGAGACTTACCTCTCTTATTTGGCCGAGAAAGTGTGAATTCAAAGATGTGGTGTAGAAATCTTCAACATTCATTTCTTTGGCAATTCAGAGATTATAATCTTTGGTAGTGGAGGGTCATAGACACGTACGTCATCAAGGAACATGTCATTAACAAAAGTCAGCTTTCCTAAGAATGACGAAGTGTAGTGAAATGTTGTCGGTCTTTTTATGAAGTCCTTACCGGTACCTAAAATTTGTGATTGTGATTATTCTTAGAATCAGATTTTATTTGTCTCGAACCGAGGACTTTTCAGTAACCTGCATATTTGCTGTTACCATCTGTTTAGCGATTTTCCAAGCGTAGCTTAGATGTGGCACAAGAGCGAAAGTACGGAGCACCTAGTGAGGATCGAACTCACTACTCAGTCGTAATTGTTCTAGAGAGACAAACTTGCTAACCATTACATCGCCTCGATTTACCCCTGCTGCCATTTGTGTATGTGTATATGATAATG